TAACTTAATTTATTTTTCTTTTCATTTTCACAAACTCTACTGCTAATTCAAAACTGTGTACAACTTTCCCGGACGTAATGGAGGACTTACTTCCCATGGTTTTTGGCTAGAAGCCTGTTGTATAGCATATTAGTTGAGCCATGATCAACAGAGGCTATTTGAGGACATTACCACTTTGTCTGTCACACTTTGCTATTTATTTAGGAGAAACTAATCCTCCTTCCCACCCTTAGCTTTTTCATAAAGAAACTCACCCTGGCATCCTCAGATGTACATTTTGTGGAAATGATAATGCATACAGAGCCATATAGATACTAGTGGGCAGAGTGTGGGTGTTCATTATACAGGCAGCTGTTAATTCAGCACAAAGTCCATTTCTTGTCCAACTCATTGCAGACTACCTTCTTTGATCTTCTGTGGTTCAGGATTCTTTTTAATTCACATTTTTGCCATCCAATCCACTCTCCTTATTTAGTTGACAACAGAAATGTTTAGAAGTGGCATTGCTAATCAAACATACTGAAGTTAGTTGAGAATGCTATTAAAATTAAGAAATTCTGTCTAACATACAGATAAAGGAAAAGCAGGAAATAATAAACTATGGTCACTTTTTTTTCATTTACCTAACTTAATAGAATTATATGGTTTTTCATCTTGCAAATGTGACTCTGGGCGGCTAACAAAATACCAAAACAATAGGTAATCCTCAACTTACGACCACACTTGAGCCCAAAATTTCTTTTGGGCAAGATATTTCTTAAGTGAGTTTTGCCCCCATTTTATGACTTTCCTTGCCATAGTTAGGTGAATCACTGCAGTTCTTAAGTTAGTAACACGGTTGTTAAGTGAATCTGGCTTCCCCATTGACTTTGCTTGTTGGAAGGTCACAAAAGGGGATCACATGACCCCGGGACACTGCAACTGTCATAAATATGAAACGTCTGACTTTTGATCACGTGACCATGGGGAAGCTGCAATGGTTGCAAGTGTGAAAAATTGTCATAAGGCACTTTTTTCAGTGCTGTTGTAACTTTGAAGGGTCACTAAACGAACTGTTGTAAGTCGAGGACCACCTGTACACCAAATGCTAATGGAAGACAACTATCCTATGGCAACTGAGGAAACCAGCAACCCATCCATCTGGGCTCATCTAAACTCCCAGCCTCCTTGTCTGGGAAAATAGCCAGGACTTAGAAGAATTCCAAACACAGTCTTTACATCCAGTCATAGAAATAACTTCTTTTATCTGTCTTTTCAGAATTAAAAATGTGGAGAAGCTTTGAGCAAGAAACAGCTCATAGGAGTCGTTTCTTCAGGCTGAAAGCAGGGATCTCAGCTCTGGCCAATTCCTGCTAGAAGCACGAGCTGGCATTCCCTTGGATCAGCACTGCTGAGTGCATTAAGAATAGGTTGCAGAGTAACATCTGTCTTCCACAGTTGCCAAAAAGAAAAGAAAATAAAAAAAGAAAGGAAAATAAGGACTTGATTCCTGGTATGAACATGTTTTAAAAGCTGAAGCACAGAGCAAAATATTATCAAGGTTTAAGTTCCCCAGCTAGTAGAGAAAAAAAATCTTTGGAAGTATAAACATTCCATCTTTGCTTTGTGTTTATATGATTCACTTTGTCCCCAAGATTCAGGATGGCTTATTACTTGAAAACCAACTCAACATTAAAAGAAAGCAAAAGTAAAAAGGAACACATTAAGCAAGGCTGACCCTAGGAAGTGCTTTATTAATCTTTGATATGAATTTATATGACTGCCCATTCTAATCAAATAACTCGGTCTAGCTAGCAAGCATAAAAATAGAAACATACAGTTAAAAACAATTTTAAAAAACAATAAAAGATACCAGGCCAAAAAAAAAAAATTGAATCCAGTCAGCACAGGCTAAAAATGCAAACCATCTAGCTCAGGGGTAGGTAACCTTGGCTCTTTTATGATTCATGGACTTCAACTCCCAGAATTCCTGAACCAGCCATGCCATGCTGGCTCAGGAATTCTGGGAATTGAAGTCCACGAGTCATAAAAGAGCCAAGGTTACCTACCCTGATCTAGCCCTAAAACCTGAGGGAAAAGGCAGGTTTTTAAGGCCTTCCAGAATGCCAACAGAAATGTGGCCATCCAAACATCGTGGGTCAGCTGCCGCAATAGAGAAATCTTGCTTCTAGGTTCTATAAAGTGGCTGTGTTTTCACGGAAGGCATCTGGAGCTTGCCCAGCCTGCTGGATCTGGTGGAATAAGCAGAAGCCATCAGACACAGGCAATCCATCAAGTATCTTAGCCCTGTGCCATGTAGGTAATAAACCAGAACCTGGAATTACACTCAGAGATTTACTGGAAATGAGTGTAATTCAGGTATCAGTGATATTATCAACATGCTGCTAGATACAACCCTATGCCAGCACATGACTTGACCCTACAACTTCATATAGATTTTAAATAGGAGTTGAGAAAGAAGATCAAGCTCTGAGGCATCTTGCAAACCAGAGTCCCAAAGCTAGCTCTCTCTTTCCCTAGCAACACTGAATGAACAAACCCTGAGAGGAGGAGAACTACAAAAGAGCAGTGCCCCTATTTCTAATCCCCTAAACTAGTTCAGAAGATACTATGATCCGTGGTATTGAGAGCAATAATTTTTAACAGCTTGTATTTTCAGTGTTTGATTTCGATAAAGGGGAATTTGTAGCTCAGGCTTGAAATGAGGGATCTCTGAGCTTGGTTGTTTTCTTTTCTTTTTTAACAAATTTTATTTATAATACAGTTAAAAATAAACAAACATTGGATTTGGCGTGACATTCCAGTATATATATTCTTATCAGATTATTCCACTTTTTACAATCAATTCTTCATCTCTACATATACATCTAAGTTTTATATACAATACTTGCTCTAAAATAACATATATTTCTATCTTAATATTCATCTTTAATCCCGACCGTCCTCTTCAAATTCCTCCAGCGATAAAATTTATCCCAGGTTGTTTTCTTGCAGACTTTTCATTACCCAAAAGTAAGTAAAATCTTCAGTACTAATAGGGAATGGAGTTTGCTTTCAATTTATATTCCAGTGGCTTCCCTGTCAGTGTTTGTGGGAGTGGTCCTGGAAGGCTGTTTTTAGTTAGCTGGTTTGACAGTTCCTTGATTACTTCTTAATTGTTGGTCTGATGTTAATTTCAGCATTAATCTATGCTCATCTGGGTGTTGATTGCTGGTGGGGAAGACCAAAACACCTCCTTTTGGCTTTGTTCTAGTGTTTCCAAAATGACATCTTGGCTTGGAATTTGGGCAGTTTTATTCCCTACAGTTTAAGGGTGATGGATGGTTGAGGAAGTTTACTGTGATGTGCATTTCAAAAACTAGATTAAAGATTGGACATAGCCTATGCAAAATTGCAATCTTTGTTGATATAGATTGTACTTATTGTGGCTGATATTTTTTTTTTCATTTATGTGAACATAAAATTAAGAAGAATAGTGCAACAATAGTTTTGGGGTGGAAATAGGAAGTGAACAGGGAGCAGAAGGAGTGAACAATAAATACCACCTGGCATAAAACTGTATGAGGAGAATTGAACAGTAATGGCAGTACCATATTTGTCATCTACTGTATATCTATGAACATTATGTGTAGTTCATTTATCATTCAAAGGGTGGGAGTTGCTGTTCTCCTTCTAGAAATGCTTCCTTTGGAATTGTAAAACAAGGCAGGGATGTTGTGTGAAGGAACCCAAAGGACTTTGAGGTGAAAGTGCTGAAAATACAGCTAAATGCATTAGGCTCAAGGAACTGATTGATTGTAAAATGTCTCTTGCTGAAAGATCTCACATAAATTAATGAAATGACTGCCTGCTTTTCAGAGAAGAGTCAGTATACCCTATGATATTATTTTCCATTCGCAGATAATAGTCTCTTTGTTGTAATTGTACTGTAATAGAAAATAAAATGTTTAAATTAATATAACCCCCCTCCCCAATAATCAGTGCTGTAATTTAGTAGGTTAACTGACTCAAAATAATTAAGATATTTTTACCTGGATTAATTCATGCTTTATTTACCCAAATTTAGAAACTTGATTAGCACTTGTAGTGAGTAAAGAATAACACAGTCCTTCTTGCTGTCTCTCCCAAGGATTGTAGAGTGCAAGAATTGATAATCTTACCTAGTTGGATAAGGAGATGTCTACAACCAAGCAAGCAAGCTCAGAAATCATCCAAGACTCATGTAGCCCTGTATATTACTTTTTATACATGTAGCTCTGTATATTACTTTTTACTTTTTCTCAAGAATCTCAGATCTCCTCCCCTCCCCTCCCCTCCTCTCCCCTTCCCTTCTCTCCCCTCTCCTCTTCTCCTTCCAGAATATATCAGGACTTGGTGGTCTTTTTATATGAAAAATAGAATTCTCTGCCGTTTAATGTTTGGCCTTTTCCAGATGCAGCTGAGCTTGGAGTAAGCTTATAGATAAACAGGAAGAGAAAACGAGGAAACTTTAATGACACCTTTCTCATGATAATTTAGAAGTGGAATCAGGTTGAAAACTTTCTCAGATTTTTTTTTAACTACTGCTGTATGTCATATGGTTTTTCTGAAATGAATCTCACACCATTTGGAATTGGTGCTCAAAGCAGGGGCTATATAATTTAGCACAATGAAATATGGATCAGCTCCTTGAAGGAGTTCATTGATCTGCTAAGCACTCTCAGTGCTTTGCAATTGGTTATATGTTTTATTTCAGAGCCTTAAAGCCCTTTCCCATTTTCACAAGATACTGAACCATTTATAAATTTGGTCTCATGGTGTCCGAAAATGATAAAGAACATTGGATTGGCTGAATATATCATAGCAATCATGTTAAAGATGGGAACATCACCCTGGAATACTAAGAAACTACAACCTGGCAATTCCTACTCTTGATATAGTGCCCAGGAATGAATTTATTAATTGTAACACAATGGTAGAGAGAAATATATCTTCAATGCTATGTGCCTTATCTATTTTAGGAGCGGAAACTATGCGCCCATCCTAGATTGGAGATCTACAAAGGAGATAAAATCTATTTTATATGCCCTCTTGCACGTCAAGGGGACTTCTACGTGCCTGAAATGAAAGAATTGGAGAAGAAAAACAGAGCAGCTGCAGCAGCAGTAGAAACTGATGATGATCAAACAGATATTACAGGTACGTATGAATTATAAAGTGTGCACTGCTTTGAAGTGCCAAGGAAATCTCCTTTACTGTTCTTAATAACATAATATACATGTTAAGAACATAAACAATTCATTTTTGTAGATATGCAGCTATCTGCTTTAAAGCAACATGGTTTCTACTAAGCTACCATCTTGATTCTAACTGCAGGTAAATTTATAGACTCTTGGAGAGAAGTCTTTCCTATGATTTTTAACCCCTCAATTATAGATTCAAGAAAAGGACCTTCTATATATCTTACCTCAATAACTATTCTAATAATGTTTTATACTGAGATAATGGTATTGACCTTTCCCAAAGTATATGCACGGTACATAATCTAGAATCAGATTAGAATGCTTTCCGTTTTGGGGTTCGAAATATGGCATCGTGCAATGCAGGATAGTCTTAGTATAACAGAAAAGGAAATTGGATTATGATGAGAAGAATGTGAATCAGGTTTCCTAAATTACATAAAATTCCTATTTGCAAAATGCAATTATCCCTAATAATTGTCAGAAATGATATGTATTGATTTATACATAGTTGCCTTAGGTATTATTTACTCTACGCATGCTTTCTCTAACAAAGTTTTCCAAGTATTGTGATAGCACGTGTACCTAAGTCAACAGAATCTTTTCATGTTGTTCTGAAACTGGGATGACAAAGAAAATTAAGGGAGAGGAGTCCGTTGATCTGACTGCAAAGCAGAAGACACTGCTGTGTCCATCCCCCATCTGTAGAAAATGAAAATGAAAACAAAGCTAAACTTCTAGCAACACTTTCCTGTGATATAGAAATTTTAGAAGGATTGTATTTATGCAGATAAAAAAATTCAGTGGAGAATTTGCATCAAAATTTGAGAATTCAAACCAAAGGTTCTCAGTATATATTTTAATTTTTTAAAAAATCATAATCCTGGTGATTGGTTCATATGAAACAGGAATTGTTCCTTTGGAAAATCTGATAAACAACTTGCATGACAAATGTTTTTTTGAAAATTAAAAGAGTGAAGTGATCTGCCTACAGAGTTTTTTACCACAGACATAATTTACATTGTCTAAATATTCCTTACACTGGTGAGCAAGTATAGCAACTTTCATAAAAAAAGATGTGAGAGCTTATCACTGCCTGAGAATATATGCTTGAAACTGAAGCTGGCTATTTTATGTGTTTCTGGTTCTGTTTGGATCAAAACAACAATCAGAATCCTTGAATTGAACTGAAATCTTTGGAAAACAAGGATGATACTGAGTTTTTCTGATTTTCCTCCAAAGATAGTCCACAAGTGGATTGAAGTCCATTTGCAGCAAAGCAAAAAAGGAATCACATGTTCTTTTCCACCAATTTTTTGTTAGTTCCTGAACATGAAAAACAGTACAACCCAGCTGCTGTTGAATTGTTTCTGGTTGTGAAATCATGTGACAATCTTTTCAATGCCTTTTCATTCCTCATGCCCTGCCCCCTCCCACCAGTTCTTAGAGGGGATAGCCTGACCTGGGTAAAAGATCAGTTCTTTTACTGTCATTTGAGTGTCCCCCAGTTCAGTGTCCCCATAGACTTTGGCAGGAGGTTTCTTTTTAGTTTTTGTTATGTATGAAGTAAAGACTTTGGGGGGGATTTTTGTCTGCTTTTAATGTTGTTTACTTTTTCATATGTTTTATTGTTTGTTTGTAGATTACTGCATTTAATGTTTTGCTGAATGACTTCCTTAAACCTTCATCAAAGTTTTGTTTGTTAGCCGTCTTATGGCATTTATGAAATCATCACAGATAAACTGTCACTGGCTTTGAAATGTGCTGTGCTGTTGTATTAGGTGCTGATCTTATTTTCACTTTGGATTGAATAAGACCACACGAGGATTGCCGAAGATACCACTTCATTGCTGGGGGTCTATGAAAATTCGCCATGGCCAACTTGCCACGGCCAACTTGCTGCAGGTCAACTCACCATGGCCAACTCGCCACAGGACAATTCATTGCTGGACAGATGTTACACTAATAACAAAGAAATGATGGAACAGAATCATTAAAGAAAGGATGCAAAAGGAGGGACAAAATGAAATGTGATCGACAAAAATTAAAATCATTTTTTATTTATTTTAAATAATTAAAAGAATTGTTAAATTGTTCTGCAGTGAGTTGTCCCATGGCAAGTTGGCTGTTGTGAGTTGTTCAGTGGCAAGTTGGCTGTGGCAAGTTGTCCTATTCCCTCAGTGCTGCTTTATTGAATTCTGTTGCCTTGCCATTATCATATTTTCTTGCCCAATTACATTTTAGTTCACTGCAATTCACATTTCTTCAGATAGTCTTTAGTTTATAAATATCTGACACTTGGGGTTTTTTTTATAGTACAATCTTCACAAACACACAGTATGTAATGGATATCTTTGAGCAATTTTTCGATCAAAATATAAGTAATATTTTAGCTCAAATTTACTTTCTTTTTCTGTCTACTTTTGAGACCTTCAAAACCAATGTAAAGTAATTGCAAAAATAAAAAACCCAAGATCCTTTCCTATCCATCTCAGATGCCTTTGAAACCATAGTGGAGAATGTATTATAATTACCGGTACACTAGTGGCCTGAGATCAACAAAAATTCTGTATGCCAAGATTACCGAGAAAAACAGTACTGTATATGTAAAAAAGAAATATTATTAGTGCATGTAGAAAAACAACTGACTGCTTCGAAAGCACTAGATTTTATCTCTTATTTGGAGTAAAATACAGATTCACATTTTATTCATGACACGTGAAGTAAGTTGAATGGAGGGCTGTAAAATAATGATTTTACTCCGTGGTGAGATTCAGCCGGTTCGCACCACTTGGGCAGAACCGGTAGCTAATTTTTTGTTGCCCAGGCCCAGAATGGACTTCCAGAAGTGGCATCCACACAGAGAACCGGTTGTTCACATATTTGAATCCCACCACTGATTTTACTACATAAATAATTGCCTGTTTAGCTCCAAGAAATAATATATACCATTAAATCTTGTGAGAACAAAAAAGTTCTACTCCAAATGGTTATGCATTAAGTGATGTAAGATCCACATTGCATTCTTTGCTCCAGTGTAATTGGAAGCCTGCAATAATACCGATACAAACCTTTCTTGTCACCTTCGCTGAGGAATGTAATATAATTGCAGTTTTATAGACTGGAAAATATCCTGCTGATGTGCAGTCTATCATCCCATTTCCTTGTTAAACATTGATGTAAAAATACTGAAGAAACCCAAGCACATCAATTATGGACAATTTTATGCATGATATTCATCCTGTGTAATCTGGTTTTAGGTTGCCAAGCATCTGATAACAGATTACAATTGATATTGTGATTATACATTCACAAAAATTATAATCAGCAATAGGTTCATTCACTGTTTATTGGCTGCTGCTATCGTGAAGACAGTTTTTACATTTCTTGTTATGCCCATGTAACATTGCTGCTTCACATACTGCTTTGGCTCACAGTACGCTTCCAAGTACAATTCAAGGTGATGGTCTATCTACACCTATAATGCCCTCCATGGTACCAGGCCAGGTTACTTATAGGAACACCTTTCTCTTTTCTGCCTGCCCATCAAATCTATCAGAAAGGGCATGCCTAGGCTCCTTCCATTAAGCAATGCCATCTTTTCTGGATTATGAAATCATGCCTTCTCAGTGGCAGCATCTGCTCTATGGAACGGCAGAAAGAAGAGAACGCTCCAATCCTATCAGCCTTTCACAAGGCATTGAACACCTGGCTGTTTCCCAGGCATTGGACTCCACTATTCAACATAACAGAGTTGGAAGGGACCTTGGAGGTCTTCTAGTCCAACCCCCTGCTCGAGCAGGCGACCCTATACTATTTCAGACAAGCGGCTGTCTAGCCTCTTCTTAAAATGGTGAAGCATTTTAATGATGATAATGATGGAGCGCCCACAGCTTCTGAAGGCAAGGCATTCCACTAGTTAATTATTCTCACGGTTAGGAAATTTCTCCTTAGTTCTTTCTCCTTGATTAGTTCCTATCCATTGCTTCTTGTCTTGCTTTCTGGTGCTTTGGAAAATAGGTTGATTCATTTTTATGGTAGCCCTTCAAATATTGGACACTGCTATCATGTCTCCTCTAGTTTTTCTTTTCACTAGGCTAGATATATCCAATTCCTGCAACTGTTCTTTATATGTTTTGGCCTCCAGCCCTCTAATCGTCCTTTTGTTCTTCTCTGCACTCTTTCCAGCGTCTCAACATCTTATTTATATTGGGGTGACTAAAATTGGATGCAGTATTGCGGGTGTGGTCAGTAATTTATTTGGGGGGGGGGTTATGTTTGGTAAACTTGTCTGTTCTAACTTTATGCACCCAGTTATTTATGTCAGATGGACAACTATATACATAAAATAAACAATTGAAAAAGCCTTTAATATGATGCAGCATAAATGTTTGAAACAAATGTAGATAGAATGAAATGGATATATTCCTTTTCCTTCCTTTTTAATTAATTGGATGACAATGTAGTATTCTACTACTCTACCTTAGCTGGAGTTACTAAAAATGGAATTATTTCTTCATACCATCAATGAAGTCCTTTACTTTCTCTTATTTTTATTTAATGTAGAAACTTCTGACTTTCTTTATTACGCAAATGGGTTGCAGTTGAAGACAAACTATATATTAAGGTGGAAGCTGACAGTCTTGTCAGTTACATATTTTTCTATCAAAAGGCATGGATATTGTACAATATTTTGGTAATTTGTTAGGGTATTTGGTTAATTGCATAATACAGTCTAATGGTCACTGCAGATTATTTAAGTTCTCAGTCAATAGCAGAGCATTATCTGCATAGAAAAGTACATACACTTTTATGTCTAATTCACGCCAATTTACTTTATTATATACTTTAAATCAAACAACCTACCGTACATTCTCTGTTTCACTTTCATATCTATGATAACCTAAGGAATTTGAGCAAATGCTAGATTGTATGTTACAATGAGAAGCATAGATTTAA